TAACAATTATTTTGGGATGCCAAAAACTAGTAAGGCACAGTCATATTAAAAGTATCATCATGGATACCACTGATTGTGGTGGTACGTATAGTGATGACACTAGTAACGATTGTAGGGATGACACTAGTGGTAATGGTGGTAATACTAGTAGTAGTGATTGTAGTGATGACACTAGTGATAGTGGTGGTGACACTGGTAACCAGTAGTGATGACATAAGTAATAGTGGTGCTAGGGTGAAGCTTTCTAATGACTGGCTTACACTGATGCCCACCAACACAGGCCAGGAGGGGGAAAACTGGGGCACCCTCATGCACCCACACTCCTGCCTACATCTTGCAGGGTCTCTCTCTCTCTCTCTCTCTCTCTCTCTCTCTCTCTCTCTCTCTCTCTCTCTCTCTCTCTCTCTCTCTCTCTCTCTCTCTCTCTCTCTCTCTCTCTCTCGCTCGCGTGTGTGGAATCATTGTTTTATTTCTGTACGAGCAGTTAAGTCTATCTCATGTATATTTTATGTTAGTATTAGGAAACCCTTGCAAATGTTAATTAGTGGCCTGACTGGGTTACTGAGGTGGGTTGAGCCTCGACCTTTCTTCCTCCAGTGGCAGATGTTTTCAATCTTGGCCTGATTTCTGCTCGACATTTAGTGTTGATGGTAACCTTCGCTTGCATGAATAATTGCTGGTGAATTTCCACTGGAATCTCTACACTCAAAGCGCAACAAATTCACTATGACATTTGGATAACTCCTAAGGTTTCAAGAATGCTATTGAACAATTTGAGGCTATTTATTTCTTAAATAAATCAATGATTGCGTTAGAAATATGTGGTTATATTAGTGAATAACAGCATATTTGAACAGTAATAAAAGGTAACATTGGTTTTACTTATTCATCAGAGTAAGCATAGTATTTCCTTGCATAAGCATAGTATTTCCTTGCATAAGCATAGTATTTCCTTGCATAAGCATTACATTTCCTTGCATAAGCATATATTTCTTTCCATATAGAGCTCGCCTCTTCAATTTGGCAATAATAGTTAATGCAATACAGCCTAGCTTTAAGTCTTAACTCTGTATTTAAATGTCATTAGTCATATTTTTTTTCAGTAATTGATTCTTACTGAATGTTTTGCTGGCACAAACCTTAGTTACCTAGATAATCTTAATGTGTGAAGACCAGTAGTACATCTGAGCTCCTACAATAATATTGTTTTTATGGCTTGATCTTTTGATTTAATCTTTTGACATTTCTACATTACCGCTGATTGTTTTATTCTAGTTCTTTATACAGACAGAGAACATTAATCTTACTTTCACCATTATTTATTTATGGTTCTACAGCTCTTCGTTATAGTTAATTATTAACGGTGAATATACTAGCGTTAATGACTGTTGACTGTGTATTTATATCTTGGAAGTTGCTATTTGGGCGCACCTCTGTGGTGAACACTTTGTTAAAGGCTGTTAACGCTGTTTTAGCCACCGGTAAGTACACTAGGTTACGCTATTTCAGTTTACGTTAGCCTGTAAAAACATATTTAATCGCAAATAGGTAAATAGAAAATAAACGAATGCACAACGTCTGGCAATGTGTCATTGTTTACTTGTCTCGGTAAGTTTTTGTACACTGTATAATGTCAGACACAATATTGCAAATCTTGTCGTTACTGGAGTAGTTATCTCCGGTAATATAATATATATATATATATATATATATATATATATATATATATATATATATATATATATATATATATATATATATAAATATATATTGGTGTGTTACACTGTGACACTCAACACTAGCGGGTTGTTGTCTTCTTTTGTGCTTGTACTATTTTAGATGTTTATAAATGTATGGCGATACCTGAATGATGTTTTCGGGGGTGAACGCCCCCACAGCCCGGGCTCATATTAGACCTAGTGGATCAAGCCCTTACCAACACCAGGCTGTTACTGCTGGTCGTGTGCTGCCCAGCGTACGAACCAGAGCCAACTGACCAGGGAATGCCTTGAGAAACTTAACAAGTTCCTACTTAAAGATAGCAAGGAGTCTGTTGCTAATCCCCCCTTATGTGTGAAGGGAGGATGATGAGTCTTGGTCCCCTTCATGCACTTCATGTGTTTTCTCTTAGTGACCTTATTGCACCCTTATTTTTCATTGTGGTTTTACAAGGTTTTTATGTCGCTATACCTTTCAATTAAGCACACACACACACACACACACACACACACACACACACACACACACACACACACACACACACACACACACACACACACACACACACACAAGAAAGGGGACTACACAGGAATGAGGAACTTCCTGAACGGGGTTCAGTGGGACAGAGAACTGGCAGGGAAGCCAGTTAATGAGATGATGGAATATGTAGCAACAAAATGCAAGGAGGCTGAGGAGAGGTTTGTACCCAAGGGTAACAGGAATAATGAAAAAGCCAGGATGAGCCCATGGTTTACCCAAAGGTGCAGGGAGGGAAAAACCA